GAATAGCACCAGAGAATGTCTAATTGGAGAGAATTGGCACTGGCTGGTTACTTCCGGGTTCTGGACTGGCTGCAGTAACACGTCTCTGTCCATGCGGGGGCGCTCGCGGTTGAGTGCAGAATGAATCAAGTACTCTTTTTTTTTATTTTTTTATTTTTTTATTGAATTTCGGGAATTACAATTACAGTCGTGTTATTTGTTTTTTTCCTTTATGACCATTCTTATCGTAAGGAATACTATGTGTATCTATATGTAAACATTTTCACATTTTTGTTTAACTTAAGTTTGTCACTGCTTTGTATGAATCAGAATGGGAGTCAATGGGGTTTCACCCCCATAAATCCACTTTTCTCAGGATGTAATTTTTTTGTCAAGTAATTTGAAAGTTGCATTCAAAAGGGAGGACTAAGATAATACACTCAGCTGAAAATTGCATTTTTAAGTTCACTTATCTGTTCTAAAAATCCGTTCAAAAATGTGATGATGTCACACAATAGCAGAATGCTAGCGTGTTCCGGCCAACAACGGCCTAACCTGTAAGAAATCAAAAGGACATAAGTACTCGTTCATTCGACTTTTGGCCTATAATCTATATTGAACTTGCGGAATCAACAATAAAATCTATGTTAATTTAACGACAAGCATCATGGAAACTCTTACATTCCGAACACCATATATGAATCTTACACGAAATTCATCTTCATCACAGTGTAAATGATGGCAATGGAAAAACATGTATCATACCTGTTTTTAGCTTTGCCTTATAGATAACTAGCTCGTTAGCGAATCATTAAATATATATTTTAAATTTAACCAATAGCTTTATAGTGAGTACTAAAATATATCTTATTTGTTTATCTTCATAATGATAAAGTTAGATTTTTTATTACATGTGATTCTGACATGATGTCACTAAATGCACTGCGCTCCTTCCTCTCCCCTCGTCTCAGGTAAATAATGCGTCTTCAGCTCAGCGCGCGCGCGTTGTGTTTTGGGGGCGTGGCTTTGGAAGGAGCCCAGAAGGGAGACATCATATAACTGACGTTTTGGGACGTCTTTTGACCATACGTCAATATCCGCCTTTTTAGGGCCCCCTTAAACGTCGGTATATGACGTTATCGGATCCTAGACCTAAACCCTAAACCTACCCCGTCACCTAACTGACGTTAAAGGTAAAGCGTCAGTTGTATGGCGGCCCGGGATCGCCATCTATTTCACCAGGTGAAATTTCTTTCTTTTTTTCATTCTTATATAAATTACTTATAACAATTTCTATCGCACACCTGCAGGTAATAGGTAAAAATCTAAGAAAACAAAAGGAAATCCCGGCCCGCACACTATCACTAGCAAAAAGTATTTAAAAAAACTATCAGTTTAGGTCTCATGACCTTCATCAGGCATACAACATACTGCACCGTTCAAGCTCAATCACATTTGAAAAAATATCATGACCAATCACAGCGAAGAAACTTACTTTTGTGTATCAAAATGGTGTTTAAAGCTACACTGTGTGATTTTTACACCCATCTAGCGGTGAAAAGCTATATGACCGTCCAGTGAATATTAGTTTCTGTTCCTCTCAATTCCGATTTTGCTTTAACTCCTACGGTGGCCAATGTAGTCCAAGATATGGCTTCAAGTTCAACCTTGTCCATGAGTGTTAACTCAAGCATAAACATGAAAGGCGAAGCTTGAATTAACGGGTATGTCCCTCTTTGGCTAATGTACTTTCAAGATGGAGGGGCAACATGGCGACCGACATTTGAACCCCTTACCCGTATGTGTTTTCAATGGCATATTATACACTCACGAGAATACTTTATTACTTGAACAAAGTAAATATACAGCCATATACATTAATGAGCACATATATTTTTGAAAGAACTAATTGTTTTTAGCTAAGAATAAACTAAAAGAGTTACACAGTGTAGCTTTAATGATTAAGCAAATACGTTACACTAATAAGACATATAAACTGAAAAACATTGTTTTATTGAGAAAGCATATTGTTTTAAAACTTTTTTTGCTGATGTGAAATGTACACTAAATTATAGAAAATCTAATTAACTATATGCATATTGGTAAAGCAAGGAACAGAAAATACTAATTACTAATAAAAATACTAAATATACAAAAAATTAAAATTCCCATTTACTCACCCTCATGTCCTTCCAAACCCGACCTTTGTTTATCTTCGGAAAACATTTTTTTAATTTACATTTTTAAGAGATCATAAATTTAGTGGTTTAGTCCAAATTAGTCATTATCAATTTATATAATGAATAGATTACATTTCTGCTTTTATTCACATAAAAACACTGATCAGCGAGCATAAACAGAAGCTCAACCATGCTTAATGCACAAGAACAAACTTAATTGGTTTTTACTGACGATCAAACGTTTTGCGTAAGAAGAGAATGAACCTCATTGGTTCTTGTGTGCTTGAGCTTCCATTTAACACATCTGATGTGTGCGTTGATGAATGTTTACAAGTGAATAAAAGCCTAAATTAAATCTGTTCATCATATAAAGCGATCATGTCACTTTAGAAAATATGGACTAAACCGCTCAATTCATATGTATTATTTTTCCGATCTCTTTATGAACGTTTTGAAGTTCACTTTGGTTGTTGTGAAGACTGTCAATTAATGGAGGGACAGAAATCTCTCAGATTTCATCAAAAATAAGTTGGTAGTTCCGAAGAAATGCATGAGGGTGAGTAAATGATGGCAAGTAACATTTTTGGGTGAACTAACGTTTTAGTGAATAAGCTACACGTAAAAATAAATACCCTTTATCTAATCAATAAACTTGTGGCAACAGATTACAAGCAATATTATAATTTAACAAATTTGAATTGAGTTATAATTAATCAAGTTATTCCTTAAAAGTTAACCATTTAAAATGAGTAAAGTTTACATCAAAGAAAATTAACAAACATATCTCACTAACAGACAGATGTCAAATATTAATTAAGAACTCTTTATTTTATATTGCCAACATTAAAAACACTTGATGTTAACAAGCAGAATCACTGAAGGAGAAAACCGTAATTTTAAAACAAACACCGATCACCATAACGGTGACTTAAATTTATGTTTCTTTTGGTTGTTGTTGTTGTAAGTTTTACTCGTTTTAAATGGTTAACTTTTAATGAATTCATTTTATTCATTATTACTCAATTCTAATTTGTTAAATTTAATTAATAATATTGCTTGTAATCTGTTGCCACATTTTTTTTTTTTTGATTAGATAAAGCATATTAATTTTTACAGTGTAGTGTAACAAATGCCTGAGGACTAAAACAGCAAATAAACTAAAAACAAAGAATCAAACTAAACAGAACATAAATGGAACTTTACAATCTCTTTAATAAAACTTTGTTAAAATTTGATTTACGGCTTTCTCTCTATGTGGAATTCTAAAACTCAAAAGTGAGGTAGATTATTAAATGAAAGTAGAGAAAAGTTCTGCAATTACAATGTTAGCGATAGTCTCGCCGACAACAATGTTGGTTTGGTGACATCATTTATTTGAGTAAAATAATTTTGGATAACCCAACAGATTAGAGGAGAAATACTGCATGTGCTGTGTGTTCTCAGAGATATAGGCCAGCAAAGCAAGCATGACCACAGGCACGATAGGCTACTTCCCTGGGCTAACTTTTGTGCTGAGCACTAATACTGAGCATTCGTGGCATAAGCTGACATCAGTGAAAATGAGGACAGGCCAGGAGCGTGAATTATAATCCGTTTTCCATTTTATTCCTTCCCAGTGGCTAAAAGAAGTGGATGGACCATTCAGGCACAATGCCTCACTTAAAAACATTAGATAATTCATTAGACACATGGTGTTATATAAGCGATTTTCTAAAACATATTTTCTGGATTGCTTGAGGATAATTTAACTTAATGACCTAATTATTTATTTGTGATATAGTTAACATTTTGACCTATATATATATATATATATATATATATTTAGATATTGTGTTGATCTATCGATCTATGTTTGTGTGTGTGCGTGTGTGTGTCTGTTTCACCAGACATTTCACTTGAGGACATTTAAAGCGCTGTCCATGGTACTGGAATACAACATGCTCGACTTGACGTTTTCTTGATGTGTGCATCTGCAGAAAGTGGGTTTCCTCCCATAAATAGCAACTCTGTCAAATTGTTTCACTTTACCTGATGATATAACGCTACCTGATTACAGATATGTGACATCTGCAAGCTGTACGCAGCGATTGGTAGTAGCCTGCATCACGTGGAATTAACATGCTCTTCTTTTTCCTCATGCTGTGAGGCATGACAGCTTCCTGTGGTCGCATCACGACAGACTGACTCTCTCTCTCTCTCTCTCTCTCTCTCTCTCTCTCTCTCTCTCTCTCTCTCTCTCTCTCTCTCTCTCTCTCTCTCTGTCTGTCTGTCTGTCTGTCTCTCTAGTGGTAATTGCACTCCAAATCACGCAGGACTTTAATATTGTTATTTATTGATATGATAAATAATTATCATCAAAATATTCACATAATTTCTTAAATAATGTCCCCTCTACAAAATGTATTAAATAATGTCCCCTCTACAAGCTATTAAAATAGCTTATAAACTGCTTAGGAGAAAGAAAAAAAAAACATTTTAAAGTAACTAGCCTATCTACTATTCATGCAGCCTCATCGTCACATGAAAAAATGTATTTAAATCTTAACATTAAATGCTTTTAAATTAATTTAACAACATAACCTATATAAAACTATCGGAAATCTAAAATCGCGTTCGAAAACACAAAAATGCCGCGATAAAAACGCTCATTTTTGCGCACAGACCAACTACATTACAAAAGTTTTGTTTATTCCCTTTTATTAAATATTGTTGTATTTTGTAATAATCCTAGCATAATAATCTAATAACAACAGCAACAAACACGTAAATGCAGACGCTATGCCTGCGGTTAAAATGTTAACTGGATATAGATTTTATTAATAGAAGCATGCGAGCTTTGGGTCCATCTCTACCACGCATGTGTTGTGCTGCAGCGACGTGCATCAGATCGGCTTTCACACACAATTCATCTGCATCCACACTTTTAGCAGTTATACTGGACCCGGAGAGATCGCATTTATCTTTTTTTCATCTGATTCCAGTGATCTAGCCATATCTGATATAGCAGGACACTCGCCTTCATTTGGTGTGCGGGCGTTTTGTTGTTTTTGTGACGGCTTGTATTGCATCGCAGCAACGGCTCTGAGACGCCAAAGCGATCTGCTATGTGTAATAGCGAGGAAAGGCAGTAAATAAAGGGGACGCGTCGATCTGTGTGAAGAGAGAGCAAGATGGTGATCATGGCTTCTTTTCATTTTTCCTCTGAATGCTTGAATGCGATGGCCATCCCCGAGATCACACTCAAGCTATTTCTATGGGCTTTTCTATTCGCCTATCTTCCTTTGAGGTAAGAATATCACATCGGCAGACGAATTTAACATTAGTTATGATACGCATTGTGTGTGGAGTGTCAGCGATGATTTACTCTATTTCCCTTGGATTCCTTTGATCTGTTTTAACGTCTAAATGTATGTTTTCACATTGCAGTGTGTGCCAGTTCTATTTATATATAGGCTATATGCTAATAATATATATTAAATTAAATATTATATATATTTATACACGACCACCAACATATTTTATACATACAACCTCATAATAATAGAACAATGACTGTATTTATTGAGAAGAGGTGTGTCATGATTCAAACAGCCATTAAACTGAATCTGGGAAGCAGGAATTCAAATGAGACTTTTCCCTCTATTAACAGTATGCTATTTGTCATTGTATACAGTCAAAGGGGTAAAGTTCATCTTCGTCATGTACATGACGCCATTTCAGTCCAGACATTTGTTTAAGAAGATTTAAGTCAGCGATTGACTCCTCCTCTCCACCTGCTGTTGGGATAATTCCGGCCTAACAGTCTAAGTTGATGACCACAAAACTACAAACAAATCAAATACATATCAAAGTGTTGATATAAAGGAAGATCATACTGGGTTTTACCTGTCATTATTGGGATTGAGATTTTTTTTTAACATGTGGTTCCCTGCGATAATGCTGAACGTGTAAAAATAAATAATAATCAGTTTGAAATGAAGCTGTATGTAGCATTGGCCTAATCAAAAATCAGAAGCCACGTGATATTGAACCTTCTGTCCATCATACTAGGTGTACTTTTTTCAGATGGTCAGGAGAGTCTATAATGGGAGGAAAGAGTGAGCCCAGAGCTATTGGGGGCCCCACAATGATTTTGACAAACGGGGAGCCCCCATCACCGGATCCCTAATTCTATAGAGGGGGCTGAGAAAACCTAGTTTGGTGAAATGAAGTCACAAAATATTAATCTAATGCTTGTCACTACTAGTATTTGTTTAAAATAAAGTAACTGAGTAACTGAACCTTGATTTTTCAACCATATGATGTTAACTGGAGACATGAGCAAATATTAAGTGAATCATTTGTATTTAGATCATCTTAAAAGCCTACTTAAAAGAATATAGTCGAATAGGTCACATGGGCTGTCTATGTTTTAAAAGATTACTGACAAAAGCGTTTAATATTGTAATTATAGTTAAAGCCTGCTTATGTCCCTATATATATTTAACCCGTCCTTTATGTTTGTTTAAGTCAGATCTCATACCATAAAAGGTTTCGGTAACACTTTATAATAACTACACGCTAATAATCATTAGTTAAGCATGAGTAAACCATTACTTCATCATTCATAAAGCATTAATAGACATTAATAAGCAGTTCATAAATACAGCTATAAATGCTTTCTTCTTGATTTAAAAGCATATCTATAATTTGTTTAATAATTGTATTTTCATCCTTTATTAATGATCAATTTATCATTTCTAAATGAAGAATTGCATTTTTTATGAACCAGTTATTTAAGAGTTTTCAGTGGTTCATACGATTACTTAGAGCGAGTAAGTAAATGATTAATAAACTATTTAAATGTACATTCATACATCTTATTATTCAGACATATAGTGATGGTTACTTAATGTGTTAATAAATGCTTTATTAACATGTATTAATGCTGTAATTAAGGGTTAATTTGGGTAGTTATAAAGCATTTAGTAGTGGTCAGTTAACTATGTTCGTGAGCTCATCTAAAGTGAGGACTATGCCTTGTAAAGCATTTTGTGTTTGTTACATTTTACTGTTTAGATTCAGATTGACGAGTCTTTAAATCACCTTTATAAATGCTTTACAAAGCATGAATAGTCCTCACTTTAGATTAGGTCACAAAAATAGTTAACTGACCACTACTAAATGCTTTATAACTACCTGTATTTACTACATTTACTTACACTTTCTAAGTGATCTTATGAATGACTGACAACTCTTAAACAACTGGTTTGCAAATAATGTTATTTAGAAATTATTAATTGATCATTAACAAAGTATGAAAATACAATCATTAAACGCATTATAGATATGCTTATAAATCAAGAAAGAAGCGTGTATAGCTATATTTATAAACTGCATATTAATGTCTATTAATGTTTTATAAATGATGTATTAACTGTTTACTCATGCTTAACTAATGATTAATAGCGTGCAGTTATTACAAAGTGTTACCAAGGTTTCTAATGTGTTCATCCAATCCATTTTCAGATAGGGCATTCACCTATCCACGTCTATTGATTATTGATTGGGAAAGGCTTGCCAGACCTTGTAATTGAAGGATTCTAACTGTTAATACAGGAGCTGTGCAGAAATTCAAGTAGTTCTTAACAGTGCTTTAATCACTGATTGACAATTACTTACTGAAGGAATAGCACTGATACTGCAACCCGGTCTCACCCCAAGACGTCATATAACTGACGTTTTGGGACGTCTTTTGACCATACGTCAATATTCGCCTTTTTAGGGCCCCCTTAAACGTCGGTAGATGAGGTTATGGGATCCTAACTCTACCCCATACCTAAACCTAACCCTAAACCTAACCCGTCACCTAACTGATGTTAAAGGTAAAGCGTCAGTTGTATCTACCGACGTTTAAGGGGGCCCTAAAAAGGCTGATATTGACGTATGGTCAAAATACGTCCCAAAACGTCAGTTATATGACTTTTTGGGATGAGACTGTGTTAGATACTGCTACTTATACTGTCACTCAGGGTTATCTCCCTAATCTTCATGATCTTTGAAACCGAACACTGTAGGCGTTCAACTATTTTTAAAAGAAAGTTATATGTAGACATGTAATCTCAGAAGCAGATGCCAACATTTCCCTTGAAAATATGTGTCCATATACGTAAATGGACTTAGATTAGCGTCCCGGAGTGCCACTGCCCTGCAGAGGTAAGCTCAAACTCTGATCAAACTCCCCTACCTGTGATTCCCGAGTGATCCTGAAGTCCTTGATTAGCTTGCTCAGATGCGTTTGATCAGGGTTGGAGCTAAACTCTGCAGGGGATTGGCCCTCCAGGGCAAGATTTGAGGAGCCCTGACCTGATGAAGTTATTTTATTCCTTGTAGGATATTTTTTTCTGACCCATAAGGCATATCCGAGGCAAGTGTCAGATTCAAGGAGATTAAAAGCTGACAGCGGGTGACTGACAGTGTGGCGCTGGTGACTCTTGTTAGCTGTATCCCAAGATTATGTGACATTTACATCTAGAGTTGCACCACAGGGGTTAATACTGACTATAGAGGCATGATAAAAAGATTTTGATAGTACTGCCTTAGATTGGACTCAGCCTGCTGGTTTGCCCTTAGTAACACCTCAACATTGTATTCTGAACCAAAGCTCAGGTATTTGTTAGTTGACCAAGACACCAAAATGCTTGCGGTGTGTTGCATAAAAAGCCTTGGGAGATATGTTATGAAATCCCCCACCCCCCAATTTGTTTTTCGCAAATGTAACGAATCTTTTCATGATATTTTGGCTGCGAAAATAAAATTGAAAATGCATGTTGTGGTAGATAACATTGGGCATGGCACCTCATGACTCGGTCCATAATCCAGCCCTGAATAATGTCTGTCTTTCTATGAGTTTGCTTGTATGAAACAGTTGTAATTAATCCTTAAAGGGGGACTTTACCGCTGGAAAAATGGGCTTTCAAAAAAACTTGGCTGCCTATTCAGTAGAAAGGAAAACAAAAAATGAAATCAGTGCTACATCAGAGATTCTTTTTGCCAAATAGACAGGTAAACTTTGTGCTAAGTGTTGTTAAATGTATATGTTGCTTTCCAAGGCCACTCCCACCAGTCTGCTATAGATAGATTTACTTAGGTCAAATACTGCCTTGCTTTAGTAGGGAATAACTCTTAGTCAAACTCTTAGCAAACTTTTAGTCATAGTGGTGTCGACTTATATTATAAGGGTAGTTTGATTTCTAACTTTATTCTCTCAACACTCAACAGGCATTTACACCGATAGTCTGGCGTTATAATTTATTTGCTTTCGGTGTACTGTAGAGTGGGTAAAACTGTTTTTAATGGCAGGCTAGCAGTTACCGTTGACTCCTGCTAGCCTAGCGCCAGCGAACTATGCAACTGGAATGACTGGATGAAAATTTTTGACAACTGTCTACTGATAAATACCACTAAAGGTAACTTGGAAATAAGGCCTGATGTCCAAAATTCTGAACCACCCCTTTAACCCTCAGGTGCTCTTCAGTCATTTCTGACCGAAAAAATGTATGTTTTGAATTTTTAAAAATCACAGCTTCATCGGAATGTTACGAAACTTGGTGACTTTTATTCCATTGGGTATGTGAACACACAAAAAAATTGAGGTCATGATCCGAGCATGCTAAGTGGTCGTAAAAAAAATAGTCACACTTGTGCTCTTCGGTCAAAAATGACCGACCATAGGAAATGAATGGGAAATTGACAAAAACACAAAAACTTTGAGAATTTTTGTGTGTACAATCTACAAATCGGCCACGATGCAGAAAAAAAGTGCTCAGCATTGACGGGGTGACACTCTAAAACATCAAGAGTGCAAAACAGACATACCCACCCCTACGCACACACATACACACACACTTTTATACACAAAAACACCAATAAATTGTGATTAAAGATATCTGTTTTGAGTATTTAAAAATCACAGCTTCTTCAGAAAATTACGAAACTTGGTGACTTTTATGGCATTGGGTATGTGAACACACAAAAAAATTGAGGTCATGATTCGAGCAATTTAAGTGGTCGTAAAAAAAAATGTTTCACACTTTTGCTCTTCTGTCAAAAATGACAACCCATAGGAAATGAATGGGAAATTGATACAAAAAAAAAAATTCTCTGAATTTTTGTACGTACAATCTACAAATCGGCCACAATTCTAAAAAAAAAGTACACCGCAAGAAAGGGGTGACACTCTACAACATCTAGAGTGCAAAACAGACACACCCACCAACACACACACACACATACAAACACACTTTT